AGTGTGGCATGCTTCAGAATAGAGAGGATCTCGGCTGCAGAGCATGGAAACACAAACATAAGGGTGCGCTTGAGCCGATGACCGCCATACATTCGGGAATATCTCATTTCAGCCCCAGTCTAGATGCAAAGCACTGCAGATGTGCTGTCCTCTGCCAGGCCCCGGACACCCGAAATCAGCAGCTGGTCGCCATTGCCAAGCCTCAAACAGCATCACAGCTTGGATGCCTAGCTTGCGTTTGAACAGCATGCCTCCGACTCTTCTTGTACACCGAATAACCCAACTACTCCATTGCTGCCAAACAGAAAAACTCAAAGTTTGTCCCTCTGCCGGAAGGCAGGCGGTCCGCCAGGGCTCTGGCTCAAGGTATGTCGCCACGACCGACTGCGATAGCATGAAACATTTCTGGTGCTTGACTGAGGCTCAAAGAGCAATCTGATCTCTTCCACGCGACAGTTCCCCTGTGAGTGAAAACCGCGAACTGGAACAACACAAAAACATACATCGTGGTTGGGCTTCGTGATGACATCCGAGATTCATGCAGCCGACACACGCCAAAGCCCGAATTCATCCACTCTGTCCGAATTGCCGTCAGTGTCCAAAACATCAAGCTACTAGGTTCTCCACCTGACACAACCTAACACGCCACTGCACCAAAACTCAAGACCAGACGATACCAGAACAGATTTGCTCTCCGCTCCAGTGCCGCCTCAAGTAGGATCACGGCGCAAGCAACGGCCACGCGCTGCCAGAGGCTGCTTGTGGGTAATAGGGAAGACTGTGTGGTCTCAACTAAGATCCATGAGAGATCGCATCCACAGCAGCAGGTACAGGTATAGCTGCAGGCGCGGCAGCAACAACAACAATTACACCAATACCGACAGCCGACCACACGTCGCCACCAGCAGCAGCAGCAGAACCACCACCAACACCAACACCAACACCAGCCGCAAAAACAAAACAACCAACAACCAACCACCACCGCCCACCACCTCCACCACCCCAACAACAACCACCACCACCACAACCACAACCACAACCAAGACATCATCATCATCATCAACATCATCATCATCATCATCACCATCACCTACCTACCTACCTACCTACCTACCTACCTACCTACCTACCTACCTAGCTACCTTGCATACATACACACATACATACATTGATGCATTGACACACAAACACACACAAGCTCTTACCCACATACCCAGATACATGCATACACACGTGTATGCAGGCATACATACACACCTATACACACGTACGCACAGACAGACATGCATACCTGCATACCTGCATTCATACATACCTGTAGCACAGCATAGAACAGTGTCGGCAACTCTCCTGAAAACATACGTTGTGAAGGACGATTATGCTGCACGCTCTGACATGTTATGACAGACTGCAGTATTCCGACTTGATGCCGTTGTGGCCAATGGACCAGTGGCTTTTCTGTTGCCTGCTCACCCTCAACATCCTTAAGTCGCATACCTTTGACGCCAGCCTGGGGCTGAAGCCCGTAGTTTTTTGGGTTTAGGGTTTAGGAAAACTCCACAGCAACTGGTCGGAAAGACCGTGACGGGAATGTCGCCGGAGATCTGCTCTCCTGGAACCTTGCCCATTGATTCCCAGGAAATTTTGTTACATGCACCATCATTGGACTACTCCTGCCGATTAGAAGCCGCTGCCCAGTCTTTAGGTCGGATTCCGGACACCTGGTTTCAAGGGCAGCCTGGGTGTGATTGCAAGCCTGTGGCCCGCACATAGCCACTGTCCATTGCCGCTCGCAGGGTTTTGCCAGAACGGCTGCTTACAAGAACCTACAAGTATCAGTCACTGGTCCAGCTCACCCCTCTCGGGTGCTCCGGTGCGAAAGATCGCAGATGCGACATTACCTAACTCTGACAAACTGAAGCCGACAAACACATAATGTGAGCGCACTAACCGGTCAGTAAGAGTCTCGGTCTGCTTCCGGGCTACCGGCTATGAGCCACACTCTGTGGACTGACGAAAGAAACGAATGCAGACTTCCGCAACATCCCAACCGGTGCGCTGATGAAGCAAAGTAACTTTATGGACGAAACCGTGATTACATGCCACTTCCTGTAGTGCCAACACTTGCCACACCGCATGGAATCACTGTCGGGTTTGGACGGCCCTGTCCTAGTGCTGCTTCGTGATTCGTGGTGGTGGGAAGTTGGTGAAACTAGCAAGAACTGGCACAAAACACCACGTAAGCATCACGAACTGAAACCGAACTTGGAGGCACCGCTAGGTTTAACAGAATGCCGTCATCAGCTGGATACCTTTCAATCTAGCCAAAGGTACTCAGAGGTACTGCAGTTAGATTGATATGTTCTTCTCTCTAACAGGTCCGTATAGCTGCAGAAGCAGTTGGAATCAGATGCTTCTTGGATGACAAGCACATTGTGTCTGACAGCAGGGGTGCATAAGCCTTAGAACGGCATCTGCGCATGATATATTGCCACATACAAACTATAAACTGCGTTAGACCGGCTTCACCAGAAGCATCCCAAGCCTGCGAGTGTCGAAGGCCACTTTCTGTGTGCACGCGTGTGAAAGCACGTGCTGCAGCATATGCACCATGTCCACATGGTCACAGCCCCAGGCCCTTTCGGACTGAGATGGGCCCATGGCATTATCCAGCTGCGAAGTTCGCAGCGGCTGTTGCAGGACAGCCTTCGAGCTATTGTAGCGGCCAGTCTTTGGCACTAAACACTGCAGGAAGTCTTTTCCTGCAGAAGACCTAAACTTAAACCAAGAAAGGCTGCATCGCAGCCTCTGGAGACTAGCTGCTGGCTTTACCAGCAAGTTGCCCCCTCGCTTGCTACCTCGTGAAACTCGGGTGACTACCCAAGCCCACGATCATGGAGGCACTAATCTACACGAAAAACGATTCTGTCATGTATCTGTTAACTAGCAGTCTCACTGACCCTCAATGATTTGAACTTTCCATCTACTTGTCTGTCCGTCTATCTACTTGTACACATGCTTCGCAATAGGCTCAGAGGCGAAACAGTGCGGCTGACAGCCCCTTCCTGCCGGCAACACTGCACAGAGGACGCCTGAACTCATTTGGGCTGGCTTGTAGCTCCATAGTTCTAACTCTCGACACCTTCTCGGGCTAGAAACATCTGACAAGTATAGCAAATGGTTGCGCATACACAGTCCCCTCGCCATGTACCCGAACGCGGAAAAGCCGAAATAGGCCTTCCATACCTGAGCGAGAAAACAGCACCTCCTCAGAAGCCGGCGCAGGCGGGCGCAACAATTTGCCTCTGCCATGGCAGGGTTTGGAGGGTGGAGGAGGGCAGCACGACATCCGCAAGAAGTGGCCCAGAAAGCGGGAGAGGTAGCTCGTCTTTAGTCATAAAAACACATCCCATGCCGCTTCTAAGCGGGCGTCTTCAGCATGGCAGGAAAAGTACAGGAAGACCATGGAACATGTCAAAAAACAGGCAAAGCTAAGAAAAGCTAAGAAAA